CCCCAAAACCCCAAAACCCCAAAACCCCAAAACCCCAATTCTTCCAATTCACGTTGAATGAATTCTGAGAGGGAATATTATATATTTTCCTGATATAGGCTCAGAATGCACATAACCTGATCGTTTATTTCAGTATTGGCACTCTTAAGGTAGTCTTGCATCTCGTTGTATAACTCTCGCACTGGAATATCATCTAGAAAGTATTACAATGAGGGGAGGCAGAAAAATTACCTTTAATTAGGCTTTCACAGCTATCTATACAGATTAGAGAAAATATAGCTTACTTATTAGCTTCTTTCAGCGATTACGAGTGTCATTTTGTAGGTTCTTGCCCTTCTTTAGATTTTTTAACTCTAAATTTGAGAGGTTTTATTACGCTTCTTCCATCTCTTCGTTTGGTCCTTGACATCCTCAGGCTGACGGTCAAGGTCAAACTTTTGCATTCTTTTCATCAAAAGCTGTAAAGTTATCTTCTTCGCCTGACTCTCGATTGATTCAAGAGAAGCACCTGGGTTAGACTAGAGAATTTAATTGATTTAGTACCTTAAAATACTCTGAGATATTATCATCTACGCTAGTCTCTTCACTGCCCTTAGGAGAAAAATCTGGTGAAAAAGAATCAAACACAGACGAATGGCTAGATATACCATCCTCGTCTTCTTCCTTGAGACTTGCTATTTTAGAAAATCATAGCTTCTTATATTGTGGTGTTTCTGCATGGACTCTCACAGAAGGACTTCCTTTGTTTTCCTCGTGCTAAAAATTAGTAGATTTTTACGTATTTCTCAAGCTGCTTCTTAACTTCTTGGTCTATCTTTCTCAACTGGTTGATGATATCTCTAGAGGTTGGGCGATGCAACAGTTTTGCTTTAGGAGACTCCTGTAGGTTCTCTTCATCAAGTTGAATTGAGTCTTTGATTGTTTTAAGGTTGACACCAAATCTTCTACGGAAATCCTTTGCAGATTTCCTCAACTCGTTAGCATCCAGTGGGCCAATATCATTACCTTTCTACAAATATTAAGGCTTATTTACTTCGTTTCTTTGTTTCAAGGGCATCAGAGGCTTGTTCATCAAATTTATGGGCACAGACTTTTCCTTTGCTAAAATACTTAGAAGGGTTTTTACACTTTAAACTGGTTGACGAATTTATAGGTCTTAAAAATTTAGGTTTCAGACCTTGCTTCAAGTCCTTAATAGAATGCATCCCTTTGGGGTTAATAGTCCTGATAATTTAACTTAGAAATTACCTGGGTGTTTGTAATTCTGAGTTTAACTTGGATTCAAACAGAGTGCTTTTACTCGACCCAACTCCGTAATTAATAGAGCCTAGATAAGTATTATTCTGATCGTGGTTTAGATAGCTTACTCGCTCTAATTACTTCTTGCCTTAATATTGACTTTAAGTTCTCCAAACTCTGTGATTGTATTTATTGTTCTTAACTCAGCCCTTTTCTTTGCCTGCTTTCCCATAGTGTCCAAAAGTTTTCCTTTCTCCGTCTCGATATACTTATGAATTGGTGGAGGAGGCTCTTCAATCATTGGCTTGTTAGGAACCTTGTGAGAGGATATATATCTCGTGGTCTCACTCTTATCGGGAGGAGTAGCAATCCTAGCGTACTTTTTATGAAAATTTCTAACTTTTATCAAAGGATCTGGTGAAGGGATTTCTATAATAAAGTTATAGGAACTTTACCTTTTACTTCTTCAACAATTGGTGGAGAGTCATCGTCTCTTTTGGGGTAGTCCTAGGATATTAAACTTAAATTCAAGATACCTTAAATTTCCATCCTTTTGGCCAAGAAGATTTGATAGGAAATTCTCCTTGGATATGCTTCATAGTTGAAATACCAGCCCCAAGATGGACTAATTTGTCAAAATCATCCTCGTTCTCACTAAAGGATTACCAGATGCTTACTATCAGCCCTTTGAATTGGGGTAGATCTTTTTATTAAGCTGAAGGTATTTTCCTTTCCTTCTCAGCTCCTGAGTTTGCATCATCCGAAGTTTCTTTTTCTCGCGTTCAATCTTCTTTTTGCCCTAATAATAATTACAGATAAGACTTTTAAAATCTATGAATACCTTGATCAAATCATTCCTTATGTTTTTACTATAAATTAGAGAATATAACTTACTCAACCACGTCTCTGACGGCTGGTGGGACAAAATTGCCTGATTTTACCTCTCGAACCTTTTCTTGAGCCCATTCTCTGTATAAAGGGTCAAAATAATGAGATTTATTGAAAAGCTTCCACAACGGATAAAATCTGATAGGCATACATAAGCATTTCGTCTCTCTGTCTCATCTCTATTTCTCTCCGTTGCAGATGAATATCCTCGGTCTGGAGTAGGGTGGAGGTAAACCCTCTATCGAGTAGCATTTCCTATAACAAGCTTGTTACAAACCTCTTCATAGATTTATATCGTACCTTGGATTCTACAACACGATTCATAATTTTTGACAGCTTGTATTTCTTAGCACGCTTTCTGTATATATTATTAATTCAGGTGAAATTTTGAAAAGAAGTTACCCCTTGTTCATAATAGTTCGATCTAAAGAAATTCCTTTGCTTAAAATCTGTTTAGTGTTGGGAATCCTTTCAGTCATGAAGACCCTGGCTAGAAATTAGATTTTCATTGCACCTGAGTTAGGTTCAGGGATATTATCCAAAAACCTTCTTTTGGTTTTTTGCTCAATTTTGAAGTCCTTCATGCTTATACAAGGTTTCATTAAATAATTTATTTCACGAATAGTATTTAAACTGGGGTTTTGGGGTTTTGGGGTTTTGGGGTTTTGGGGTTTTGGGGTTTTGGG